GGGGGGGGGTGTCAAGCCCAGCCATGCATATGCCGCTCACCTTAACCATCAAAAATGAATGGCTAATCATAAACCTCAGCCTAAACCTAACCTTGTGACGCTGACACTAAAACCACATGTGTAAGACTGAAAAAAGAAGGGTTATTCAAAATTGGGTCCATATTCACCAGCAATGCACATATTCATATTTTGAATACATAAATTAGGTTTTATAAATAAGGCCAGTTTGGTATTGTGGATGTCTGGGATTATGGTGTTAAACGCTGAGCTGTAGCCCTTTTCTGTGCTGATTTTAATGTCACAGGAGGTCTGGACCTGAATTTTTTTGGACTATATGCAAAATTTGCCAACTCTATACATCTGTATCTGCATGCATCTGAGTATTCGATGATTGGTTTTAATGTGGTGGATTGGTTTGTACCTAAAACACTGAACTCTCTTGTTCAGTGGGGCACTTAAAAATAAAGTCTCTGTGTTTTGTGGAGCAGTGAGGGTGACAGCAGGGACGACAGCATTGTGGTGTATTATGAGTCGACGTTTGATGTCCCCGTCCCTCAGCAAACCACTGTGGATGAAGCCATTGAATCTCTGGAGCCTCCAGCAGAAAGTGAATGGAGCCAACAGGGACAAGGACTGCTGAAACCCAGTGACACCCTGAACATCAGCAACATCATCTCACAAGGTTTGACAGCTCATAGATCCATAAAATTTACACTTTTTTACAAGTTTGTTTGTTGTTTGTTACCAAATCAATTACCATTGTAACTGAGTTCCTGGATAAATGTTGCTTTCTGGTCAAGAGATTGTTCTGTAAGGAACTAGTTCAGACTTCCAACAGGTATATGACTCGGCAGTGACTAACAGATGGCAGCATTAGACAGGAAGATGCACATAGTCCATGAAGAGGACGCATTTCTTCAAACATCTCAAAAGTTCTGAAAAGTGCAAGAATGATCTAAGTTAGGTTAATATATGAGCCTTTGATCTCAAAGCACCATATTTACTTTTTAAAAAATGTTAAGTTAACATATATCTGAGATCTTCTGGTATCCACTTCCCTCACAGCTTGATTTTAGTTGATTTAAATGATTCAGAATATAACAGAGATTCCCGAGTGGTTGCACAACTGCTGAAAATGCCTTATAGTGTGTGGTGCATGCAACACTGATGTTTGCTGGAGACCACTTAGAATAACATATCTATTTGTGTATCACTGTTGTCTCCCAGTGGTGAGAAACTTTGAAGTCTTTGAAACACTGGATTTGCTCTAGTGGCTGCTGCATTGTATCTGATAAGGCAATGGGGACTCAGGCTACGTCCACAGCAGCCCGGATAGATTTGAAAACAG